CGCAGCTCCCGCGGCGTCGGCCTGGGGCGCCCCCTGGTGGTGGTCTGGGCCGGAAGGCTTGCTGAAGAGCAGGCTTCCCTGGTGCCCGCTCCCTTGCCCTCTCTGCACCTTCGTCCCCGTCGTTCCTCCGTCCTCCAGCGCTCCCGACACCTTCCTGGGCCTCACCTCAGCAGAAGCTGCACTCGGACTCGCCTCTGGGGGAATTTGCCCCTTCAGGGCCGCCCAGTTCTGACCTCGCCTTCCCCTAATCCTTCCCTTGCGGTTGGAACTCTGCATTTGCGCAGGCCCTCGGCCTCGCGTCCTACCTGCCCGCACCGCACTGACGGCTCTGGGCACCTGATGCCCACCTCGCTCCAGGCGCGTCATTCATGCGGTCTTTCAGCGTGCATTTCATCTAGGTATGTGTTTATTTTCTAACACTGCCCTCCTCTCTTTGCCCCTGCAGCCCTAACACACTAGTGTCCAACGCCTTTTAATAGGCCCCTCTCTTTGAAATACCTGGAGTCTCCTAAGTCATTATAAATAGGTAGCATTGCCAGGCTGGTGTGGCTCAGTGGTTGAGCATCAACCCATGAACCTGGAGGTCATGGTTTGATTCCGAGTCAGGGCACATGCCCGGGTTGCGGGCTCCATCCCTAGTAGGGGGTGTGCAGGAGGCAGCTGATGGATGACTCTCATCATTGATGTTTTTCTCTCTCTCTCTCCCTCTTCCTTCCTCTCTCTGAAATCAACAAAAATGTATTTTTTAAAAATAGGTAGCATTATTGGATAAACGGTGTTGGGAAAATTGATAACTGTTGTGTAAACTATAGGGAGATCTCAACATCATGCCACATAATAAATAAGCAATAATATCAATTTCCTTACTCTATTCCAGTTGGTCCTGTTTTAAGGGCTCTTTTATCAGTTCCTGCATCCAAGAAAGAGACATGGGCTCACCATATCCTCCTCTTAACCCTCTCGTCATATCCAACCACCCAGCTTTCTTCTCCTCTAACCCTTNTCAACCCATGAACCTGGAGGTCATGGTTTGATTCCGAGTCAGGGCACATGCCCGGGTTGCGGGCTCCATCCCTAGTAGGGGGTGTGCAGGAGGCAGCCGATGGATGACTCTCATCATTGATGTTTTTCTCTCTCTCTCTCCCTCTTCCTTCCTCTCTCTGAAATCAACAAAAATGTATTTTTTAAAAATAGGTAGCATTATTGGATAAACGGTGTTGGGAAAATTGATAACTGTTGTGTAAACTATAGGGAGATCTCAACATCATGCCACATAATAAATAAGCAATAATATCAATTTCCTTACTCTATTCCAGTTGGTCCTGTTTTAAGGGCTCTTTTATCAGTTCCTGCATCCAAGAAAGAGACATGGGCTCACCATATCCTCCTCTTAACCCTCTCGTCATATCCAACCACCCAGCTTTCTTCTCCTCTAACCCTTACAATTGCTCTTGCCTTGACATCTCTTCAACAGCCTTAATGAGTTTCAGTCTGTGAAAACAGTGCTCTCACTGGCCTTACTCTCCCACTCTCCATCTCCAGATTTGCCCCATTGAGTGTTATCTGGCTACTCTTCTGCTGAGACTTTCCAGGGATTCTCTGCTGCCTAAAGAACAAGTACGGATTCTGGAACCTCAGATGGAAAGCCCCCCAATACAGTTCATGCCCCTCTCTCCCAAATGAGAAAGGAAATAGGGTGTATGTCCCATAAATTACTCAACACCCCGCAGGCCCAAGGCGGGCTCTGCCATTCAAACGCATTGATATTCCTGCGCAAAATGTATAGAGATGTATGTAAGAAGAGTGTACATTGATGCTCTTCGGGTGAGGTTGAGTGTGCATTTATTAAGCACCTACTCTGTGCCAGTCTCTGAGGCTACAGGAAACAAAAAGTCAGTGGCTGCTGCTCCCAGGGGTTCACAGGCGGGGGGGAACAGCCAGGTGTTGGTGGTGGGATCTCTAAGGGAGACCGCTGAGCATCATGGGAGCCAGTGAGTGGAGGCTGGATGCAGTCGAGGGAGGTATGCACAGGCCAGGGGCCTGCTGGGGAAAGGCCACAGGTCAGGAAATCAAAGAGCCAGTCAGAGGGACCTGGGCTGGCCTTGCTCACGAGTGGAGCAGGGTCTCTGAGAGCTGTCAGAGGCTCTGCAGAGGCAATGGAGGAGGAAACCCAGGGTGTATCTTGAAATGCCCCCCCCAGGAGGAGTGAGTCATGGACTTTATCCTAATGGAGTTTGGGACCAATGGGAGGGTGAGATAAACACACAGAGGCTCTCAAGAAATAAGATAAGGGGCTGGTGGGCGAGGCCCACAGAGTTGTTGCGTTGAGGCCAGGAGCTGATCCAGCAGAGTCATGGGGCGGGGGGCATCTCAGCTGAGGAGATGGGGACCCAGGGATCCAGAGCTGAGAGGGCAGCGTGAGCAAAGCAGTCCGGGGGAAGGGACAGTGACAGTGATATAGAGACCAGAGCAGGGGGTGAGAGGCGTGTCAGCTTCAGAGTCCTCAGAAGGAAAAGGTCTGACTGTGTGACTTTAGCAAGCTGCTCACCCTCTCTGAGCCTGTGTCCTCATCTCCCAACCAGGTTCCCTAGAGTTACCTTGCAAGGTGGCTGAGCTGATTCCCGGTGATTGATGTGTGCCAGCGCCCAGCCCACAGAAAGGGCTCAAGAACCATTTCCTGTGATTAAGCAATTTGGGCTTTATTCCTAGGTCTGTTTTTCCAATTTTTACCAGCAGAAATCTTTGTGGTCAAATGAAAATTTCCCCAGAATCCACTGTATAAAAGCCAGGTAGGAGAGAGGCTATTGTGGGAAGCTGGAGAGGGGGTGGGGCCACAGTCTCCCCCATTCGGCTCGCAGCTGTGCAGGAGGATGAGACTGGCAAGAGAGAGGAGGGGGGTGAGCAGAGGGGAAGGTTGGCACAGGGTCCCTGTCTTGGGGGGCTCTAGCACAGACTGGGGCCAGAGCCTTTGGCCCACCCCGGCCACACTGGATGTCGGTGGTCCTTCCTCAGGATGCAAGATGGAAGCTCAGGATCTGTTCAAACATTTATTGAGCACACACCTAGGCTCGGCCTGGGCCGGGGGCTGAGCTCACAGGTGGTGGAGAGGACAGAAACCTTGGGAGAGTGTAGTACTCAGGGGCAGCACTGGGTGCTGGGGGTGCTGGGCAGGTATTTAGGATCAGTGGGCTTCAAGAAGGCTTCCTGGAGGCAGCAAATGCTTAGGCAGAGCTTGGAATGGTTAGTAAGAGTGAACCTGGCAAAACGGCTGGGAAGGGTATTTCAGGCAGAGGGAACAGCATGGGCAAAACACAGAGGCATGCCATGTCGCAGCAGTCAGTACAGGTGGGGCCCAAAGCAGTTCAGGCTCAGAGGGGCAGTGGAAAGGTGGGAGTGAGACAGGAGGGCATTGGGCCTTGAGTGCTGCGCTGGGGTAGCAACTCTTCACTGCCCACTGGACACCTCCAGCCCCGGGCCTGCCCCACAGGTCCTGGCAGCTGGCATTGAGGCGAACATACCTGTGACCTATGGAATTGGCAGCCAGAGGGGAGACGAGAGCACTGGCTGTCAATTCATAGGTCAGAGCCCTGTGCACTCGGTCTCAGCAGCCTACTGACAGCCCATTACCCTTCGCCATCCTGGGCCTGAGGGCACAGCCATGGAGGTCCCTACTGGTCTGCTGGTCTCCACCTCCACGGGGACTGGCCCCCACCCCAGATAACAGCAGCCCCACTGGAACTAGTGGGCACTTCCACATGGAGTTGCTGTTACAGGGGGTGGGAGCCACTTGGAGGCATCTCCTCTTGGGCAGAGGTCTGAAGAGTACCCCGCACCCACGTAGCTGGGCCCCTGGGTCCTCATGGCCTGGGTCCATGGTCTTTTTATTGAGACTCCTTATCACCCAGGGCCCACTCCTCTGGGCGAAGTCCAGTCTCAACCCCAGATCTGCCCATAAAGCCGGGAGTGGCTGATTTACAGCTCAGAGGCAGCCTTTGCCCGCTGACACCCACACCCACTGTCCCCAAGTTCCCGGTTTCCTCCTTTCTTTCCCAACCAGAGCTGGGCCCCAGTTCCAGGTTTGGCTGCTGCTGCCTCCCTCCGCTGCCCTTTGCCCACCCTTTCCACCTCAACCACAGGGCAGAGGGACATCGAGGGACGGCTGGGCCTCCGTTGTCTCCAGGGACCTCCAAATGCCCAGATTCCTTAGGATGGCCCTGTAGGAACTGGACATGAGAAGGGCAGGGGTGAAGGGGAAGTAGAGAAAGTGGGCAAGTGAGGCAGAGAGGCCAAAAGAGAAACAGATGAGACAGGCGGAGAACGGACAAGGGACAGCGAGGGTGAGGTGGAGGGAGAGGGGACAGACAGGGCACTTGAAAAGGTGCCGATCCACAAACCTGCAGACACAATGGTAAGAACAGGGCTGCAAGCAGTCACCCATCTGGAAGACACTTAGCACCTTGGTGGCCTGGGAGCTGGGTGACCTTGAACATGTGGCTTAACCTCTCTGAGCACTGCCGGTTCCTCATATGCACTTTAGGGCCTGTGAGGCTGTCCTGCACACTGGCCTAGACTGGTGGGAAGACCCTCCCTTTAACCTTTGGGTCTGTCCCTGCTGTAGGGAGGGGAAGGAGCTGCTGGCTGGGGTCCCTGAGCTAGCCCCTGGCCCCCAGGCCCTGGCCTCCGGGGAGGACAACTTTTTGCTGCAAAGTGTTTTCTCATCCCCCCTGACTAGCTCTGGCCCAAGAGGCTTCAGTGACAGGTTCCTGCCAAGGGGATATTTCAGAGATCCCAAGACTTCCAGAGAGGAAGAGCTGGGACTCTGAGCTTTTAGAGTGGGCTTGGGCCATCCCTCCCTTTCCCTGTAGTGGAAACTGGCCCAGAGAGGCAAAGGAGGCTGCCCAAGGTCACAGAGCCAGACCTCGAGGCCTGTCCTGCCCGGCACCCTCCCTGGCATGGTGTCCTCCCAGGATGCAGTCAAGTGGGATCGGGGGTCCCCAGGCAGGAATCCTCTGCCTAGGACAGGCCTGTGAATGAACATACAGGCCTGTGTGGGAGCTAGTAACCTCCCTCCCCTACAAGCCCGCAGGCCCTCCTGAGGATGCAGGGGCAAGACCCAAGTGCCCAACCTGGTGGAGACAGTGGCCACACAGGGATGCCAATGCCACAGCCCATGAGTCCCGCTACCTCATCCCACAGGTGGAAGCTGAGGCCCAAGGATGGAAGGAGCTTGGTGAGATCACCCAGCCGTGATCCTCAGAAGGGCTAGGGAGCCTGCAGAGATTGCTGGGTTTAGAGTGCCCTCGGGCAGAGGGGCTGCAGGGGTCTAACCGCCTGGGAAGGCTCTTACCTGGGTGCCTGGCTGGCCCTTGGGGTGTAAGGAGGAAGTGGGGACGCCCTG